TGAGACCTTCATCCAACAGCTACTTTACCGTGCAGATTGTACTGTGCATGAACCAGCCAAAGACAGTGATGTCTGGGACTTAGGAAATAGGTGGAGTCGTCTATTCTCCTATGCTGGTTGCGGCAGCAATTTTGCGACGGCTGAATGGGTTGCAAACGCGGCTTATAAAAGTGATCTCTCGTCATTTGTTGAGAGTGCAGCTTCATTTCCATAAAAGTATGCGATTACGTAGAGAGTGGTTTGTTTAAATTAAACAACTGCACCAGCCGCTGTTACTCCTCTTGGCGTCTGATGATGGACTTTACGCTGATTGGCTTCTGTAATGGCCTCAAGGACGAGGCTAATTTGGGCGCAACATTTGTTACTACCACACTTCTTCAAGTCAAGGTGGAGAGACGAGGGAGGACTTCCTATTGGATGTCTTTACGCGCCTTTTACGTCGATTACTTTCAGCTGTTGGACTTATGTGCATGATTCTCAACGCCCCACGCAGTGTCCGAATCGGAGCCGTCGGTTAGGCCAAGATCACGAGCCTATGTCCAGTGTCATTTGAGGAGCAAAACAATTCATTGGTGCACTATTATCATTTTTGGTTAAACTAGCCGCCAGTCCTCCGCCACCAGGTATTGCTTGCAAACCACATCCGAATAGACATCTGACAGGTTTCGAGGTCGCACTTGTGACCACTAATTCACCAGCTCGGTGGCTAAAATAAAGTAGATGGAAGGGTGAACCTACATGACTGGCGAGTGCATCTGTCAGGCCTTGAATGGAATTAATTGTTTGGACAACACCTATGCATAGTCATAAGGATGATCACAGACCACAGCTTACCACACAGCCAGTCTTCCTGTTGCTCATACTGCCCGAAGCCGTTCAGCTTGCAGGTGCTTGCAAGACTGTCACCCAGCATCTCTCTACTTCACCATATGCTTTGACGAGCACATTTCACGCTGCAATCATTGGCAAGTCATATTACGCGCATCAAGACATGCGCGTGAGAGTGCATCGGATTTGCATCACGATCAAGGCTGCTTCAATCATCCAGCTTAGGTGATTCAGCAGTAAGCATTTAGTTCCTCAACTTGCTCTCGCCTTTGTTTTATTTTGCTTCCCACTCTCTCGCACACTCATCCTACAGTGTGCATTTGCTCAGCGCCACTTGACCACCATTGTTGAATGCATGCGCCGCGTCAACAGAGCGGAAAGGTGGACACATTGGATGCACAACTTTAAAAGGGGAAAAGTGATAATCATTGGGGTAATGAAGAGGAGGTGAAGGCATGTGATTGAAGGCGGAGCTTCATTACCGATTTTGAGGAGTGGCA